ACACACATAATTTAATAGATATGATTACTAATAATGTATCAAAAATGGGTTCTATACATAAATGTAGGTATAGTAGAGTTAAGGTTTATATCTCTGGAATCAGTGTATCTATATGACAATAGACCTACGCGAGGTTATAGAAGTGGATCATGTGTACGTAAAAACAGTTGACAAAAACAACGCACTGTGGTGTACGACACGAACGTGAGTGAGTGAGTGAGTCAACCAACATAACGGCAGAATTAGTAGTTTAATTTGAGTTCAATGACAGTGCATAAATCTCTGTGCAGTAATGTGTCTGAATCATGCCATTGTTAGCGTTAAATTATACATAAAACCAAGAAGATATCGACTGCATATCACCTCCCTTTCCTTCCTGGATTCACTATGGCGGTGAAGAGGGAGATTGGACCCCGTGATGAATGGCTACAGACCGAGATAATGAATGATGTTTCACAGCGTGAAATTACCATAACAAATCTAGTCTATAAACTGCAGGTATATTTGTGTAATGAAAGAAGGAAATAATTCCAATGGAAGTGCCTTCGGTCCCTGTTTGAAACAAACTCATTCTGTTTAAAAAGTGTTATGAAAAGGTACCTTGTTGATAAACTTACATTTTCAATAAACATATCATCACTATAAAAAGATCCGTACACTTTGTGCCTGAGTTTGTGGCAAATGACTAACTCTCGTTTTTGTATACTAAGTCATAACATCAATACGTAAAATGATTTTATCAATATTCAGCCTTATCACTGCAGGGAGATGCCAGAAACACATCGTACCATCTGGATAATCGAACCCGGGTCTTCTCCGTAATGACTCAACGCTTTAAACGCGAGGCTGCCCAGCTACCCTTGATGCTATGAAGGACTTTATTCTTGCACATCTGTTTTTTTCTCTCTTAAAGTGTGCACCTGTTAGGCTGTATGATAGAGCAATGCAACTTAAGAAGAACTGCAATTGCAATTGCTTCACTTCTGAGGTGTTTGATCGTAGTGAGTGCCGAAGCCTGACACCATTTGTGATTATGTTTAATCCCCGAGTGGTAACCTTTTTAATGGTTTTACTCTTAAATGGAAGCGGATCAAGAATATTGCTGCAAAATTAAGGATTAGGTCTAAATTATACTCTTTTAATGATAAAATGTGCACAGAAATGTATCGAATCAATAATAAAGCTGACCGGGAACAGTTGGGTAACTATTCCGCGGTATGATGTAAGGGAAGCAACTCCTACCGTCTTATTATGCCATCCAACCTGCTTTCGGCAAAATGAACGCCTTCAAATGTCAGTCTCTTTAACTGGTGTCCTCAAATGCAGGGTTTATTACTTAGCGACTAGTTAAGCAAGAAACCAGCTCACTCATTCTCGTTTGTGAAAAATACTATTCACACTTTGCTAAGGATCAAATCATGGATTCAACAGCAAACTATGATGATGGGTCAAATTTGGATTGATATCTAAGCTTATTGTAGGCATGGTTCCTAGGTTTCAGTATGCCATTGCATCTTGTGGATCCCATACCGGCTATTGACAGGGGTTGTTTATTTGTCAATGACTCGATCCATGATTTAAAAAATGGTTGATTGGTGCCATGAAAATCATTTGTATGGTTACTCATGGATCAAGTGCATAAGGTTAGAATAAAGAGGTTGTCTGCCTAAAGAGGGTTTACCATATTTGATTCATCCACTTTTAAATGGATACAATTTCAAATTATAAACTTACGTTTAAGTAAAGCTGTGAATTTTAGTGATCCTTATCAAGTGTGAGTAGTATATATTGGATTTGTATTACGTAAAGGAACTTCCTATTTACGCTGTGTTGACTGATGCAAGCAAATGCTAACCAACCCGGACTCCGCACCACCTCTTCCTTCTTATGTCAATAACTAACATAAATCTGTTTACAGGAGAGTTAGCAGAAAATTACAGAAACAAACAATAGGCAATGCCATTAGAAAGTGGTCAGATGAAACATGTTTTGTTTTTGGGATTACACTGACTCAGTAAAGAACAGATTCTAGCATTTTGTAGGTTGAGTCCCATCCGAGATTCCAGGCCACACTCTCAGAATCAATCACCTTTAGAATCGTCAGTTCTCAAATTTATCGATCTTACCTACTCAGCCATCGCGGCTTCCACAGAAAACGAAGTTGGAGAACTGGTATTGTAGATGAAAGCATCCACTGAGTGAATGATTGTGTGTCTATCTTGGTATTATCATAGCTCCAACCGTTTCGCAACTAGGAACACCATGAAGGGGGGTCACACATTGTAAACATATTTAGAATCGAACTCCGGTCTTCAACGTGATGGACGAACACTTAACCACACGGCCACCCCTACCTCAAGTGGTTGGGTGTTTTGATTGTGACTTAGTATACTGACAGTCAAAAAAATATGTGTCAACCTTAGGACAATACAATATTTTCTCTCTTGCTTGTGGCTATTATGAGGATATGATTTTGTGACTCGGACTGTATCCTAAAGAATGTGTGCTCATGCTATCAATCATTGGTTCAGACTTTATTAATGGCTATTAATGGAGTGTTATTGCGTGCTGCTCAAAACAATACCCCAGGTACATCTCTGTATACACACATATACACAGTACTTCTATTTACACAAAGGTACACTAAGGTGCCCTGGTACATAGTGATTAAATCGTTGGCTTGTCACGCCGAAGATCGCGGTTCGATTCCCCTAACGGGAACGATGTGTTGTATCAACTTCTGCTTTCCCCTGCCTGCCTTACTCAATAAACATACCTCCACAAACACAAAGATACCATGGGGACACATACATGTACAGGTACCTCTATATACACAAGGGCACCCTGGTTTCACTTTGTACAAATATACCCCGAGTGCACTTGTGAACACATAAATGTGCCCTTGTACATCAGACTCTCTGTATACACAGGGTATCCCTGTACCTCAGTGTTAAACACACGTACCGAGGTATCTCTATACCCAAACCTACCCTGTACCTTTCTGTATACACGAAGGTACCAAGGTTCTTTGACACGTTTAAAGGATAGGAATCGTAGGAATCAATGCCATTCAATTCCTTCCTGGAAACCATTTCGGAAGAGACAGATCGTTAAGAAGATTGTCTACCAGTATTTGAGTGATACAGAGTTCCCTTACATTATTGATTACTGTTTCAACGCATGACACATTATAACACAGGATATTAACTTGAATTGTTTCGTATGAACAAGCCCCTTCTGGGGTATGTTATAGGAATACATGTCAACATCATAGGGTGCCGAAAACACCTCACAATAACACAAGTTTCTCTCTCCCTCTCCACTCTCTCATTCTCTCTTTCCCCTCTCTCTCACTCTCTCTGCCTGCGTCTCGTTTCCCCTCGTCTCTCTCTTTGTGCCTGTCTCTATCTCGTCTCTCTCTTTCTTACCTTCTCTCTCTCTTTCTCCATATATATATCGGTCCGTGAAGATCCGGGGTAGAATAGGTCTTCAGCAACCCATGCTTGCCACAAAAGGCGACTATGCTTGTCGTAAGAGGCGACTAACGGGATCGGGTGGTCATGCTCGCTGACTTGGTGGACACATGTCATCGGTTTCCAATTGCGCAGATCGATGCTCATGCTGTTCATCACTGGATTGCCTGGTTCAGACTCGATTATTTACAGTGAGTGAGTGAGTTAAAATTTAAAGTCAGTCGGCAATATTTCCGCCATATCGTGCCTAAAACTAATTCTAAATTTATAATACATATATATAATATATAAAACCCTCTCAACGAAAGACAGTAAAACCACTAGATTATCACATATTGAGTTAAAACTAGCTAGCATATATCTTTAAAAGTAGAACATTATTTCTGGACAATACAATGTAAAAATGGGCTCTAGGTCGCCAACAACTGAAGGTAGATCACCATACTAGGGACCATGGGGACTCACAGTGCCTTTGCTGATTATTTACAGACAGCCGCCATATGGCTGCAATATTGCTGAGCGCGGCGTAAAACTAAACTCACTCACTCCCTCCATATATACATCTAACACATCTATGTATGTTATGCTATTTCAGTCATTATGTGTATTGAGACAATTCAAATACCAGCAGAAGATGAAGACTCAACATTGGTGTTTATTGTTGCCTGGCGTGTGATTATTGAAACATCTCATTTGGATCACATCTTGGTGCTAACTGTATTCTAATGATATTTGCTCTAAGCCAAATGTACACATACGTATTCAGAAAGCCAAATGTACACAAAGATATTCAGTTCCGTATGTGTGGAATGATGACAACAGAGTACACTAAAATCAAGACATTAAACCAATCTATTAATGTTGATTTGCGTCGATTAATATGATAGAATGTAATGGTATGGTTCTGGGTTCAAACATACATTTGCAGTTATGCTTATATTTTCAAAATTAATTTCAGTGCCAGAAAGTGGAGACGTGTAGAAATAATATCAGTAGTTAATAACTTAATCTTTGGTTGTTGGCTACGTACTTGTGTTGTTAAGTTTGTTGGCAAGCAGAGAAGAAACTGTACTTGTTCGGAACAGCCTGTGTTATAGTAAAGCATGAGTAGATGTCTACAAATCAATTATGATCCATGTGCATCAGTCAAACATTATAGTTTGTGAATTACCACATTTACAGGTGGAATATGTTTTTTGTCTGAACCAGTTATCTGTTCTGTGTCGCTTTACTTGAATACTTTGATGTCACCTGAGTTGTAATTACAAACATACACGTGGCCACGTCCATCTGCACAAACACAATGCGGACGATCGACACCGTCACCTGCTGTAAGAAAGTTCCTAACAAACTGGCCTGACTCGGTCAGATGAACCACATTATTCTGAGAGTTGACAGCAACCAGAATGTCACCTGTGTTGGTACTTGTGATGCCCCGAGTTTGCGCCTGTGTTGTGTGTCCTGTCGAGGGGTAGGTGAACACAACGTCCCCTTCAGGTGTCAGACACAAGACACAGTGAGAACCACAGTCGGACACAAGAATGTTTCCTGTTCTTGTGGTGCAAAGAAACCAAGGAATTTTCAGGATCTTTGTTCCACTACAGAGTGGACTGACTGACCTCAGCACGTTTCCTGTCATGTCCAGAATATCCACACAGGGAGGAGACTGGGAACTTGCTGCAAGTGTTGATGGGGTCAGGGACGTTATACCCCAGTACTGTTTGTTTGTTGTGATGGTTGACAGCAGCACCAGGTCAGGGTTGACTTCAACCGTTATGATTGTTTTATTCCATACAGTGACAGCCACTTGATTGTGTTGTAACTTTGTCAGGCGGCTAGGTCCACTATTCAAGCTGAGCTTGCTATGGCATGACTGATTATCTCTGGTATAGAAAGACTTCACACTCATGTTCCAATTATCTGTGGTTACAACTGTATGTGTATCATGTATCACTAGCGCTGTCACGTCAAGAGGCCCTGCATCTCTCTGATCTCCTGCTACAGTGACGTTGATCGTGTCTCGTAACACAGGTGTAGCCGCCAGGTCCAACACACTGTCATACAGAACGTCTATCTCACCCAGCTGTAGATCGTCCACTGCTCTACTCAGCTTGTCCGAGTCCTGTCTGAACGTGATCCTGGCTATTCTTCCCTTCTCCTCCAAGTCTGTGTGTCCGACATCCTCCACATCACCAGCATCACACCCCTGGTACATCTCATACACATCCATGTCACACTCAGATTGTAGAGTCTTGTCAATCAGCTCAGCCTGTTGTCGGTACATCTGTACTGATATCTCCCCTGACTTAATGTCGGCGTTCAACTGTTCAATGTGCCTTTCTGAAATTTCTTTCAGTTCATCTAAAAGTTTATTTTCCTTGACAGTGATTGTTTCCCTCGCCTTTTTTCCGGAAGACTTGATCTTCGATTCCATTTGGACATATCGATCTTTCTCAGTCATGACATTCGATTTAACTGTATCGACTTTCTTTTCAATAAGAATTTGTTTCTGTCGTATGTTTTCCTTCTCATTCAGCAGTTTCGATTTTAAAGCAGGCAATTCCGACTCAAGTGTGACAACTGACTCACATTTTCTGTGATAGATAATACAACAGGTTTGGCAGGTGAGTTTCTTGCAGTCTTTGCACAGGAATTTGACACACTCATCTTTGTGTTCATTACACATGACTTTACGCTTCCGGGGAATATTGACCTCGCCAGAAAGGTCAAGGACGTCATGATGACGAGTGGATGGGAAACGTTTGTGCATTCTAGCACATCGGTCACACAGGGATTCGTCACACACCGAGCACCATACAGATGCAGGAGTTGTCTCCCCTTCTGCATGACAGCAGGTGCAGTTTGTTGTATCTTGAGGGAAAAACATAAAAGAAAAAATTAGGATCTAATTGGCAATTTCCAAATTACAATAACGAAGGCGTTCATACAGAGAGCAAAGTTTACTTTTTGTCATCATTCTTCAAGTAGCATGTAAAACATGTCAAGATCTGTGACTGATCCACCATTTACTATTCTAGGATTGGTTGGCTTGAATATCAGATTATAATATAGGTCCCTGCAACAATCCATGTAATTGCTTTTCAGGAGGGCAAGGGGAGGTTTCTGCAAAATCTGATCACAAACAATCTTTCTCAGAGCATCATTGTCTCTAGCATGTAAAATCCTGACCCCCAGCCACCCCAACCACCAACCACACACACACACACCACACACCCCTCCTTAACATCTTAAACGAAAAAGGTAACGACACATTCGGGCCCTAAATACCCCAGTCCCATCTATAGACAGTGAAGGTAAATTTACGACTGTAGCAGAAAATTGTGGGATGCCGAAGTGTGGCGTCTGTATTACCGGTAGGGCTGAACATGCATTTCGCGAACACCTGGTGTCATCACTGATCTCTAGTAATCAATTCAGTGACTTACAAGATTTTCACAGATAATATGTGCTTTAAACCAAAAGGAATCTGACACAAAACATTTAAAAGTAGTCCACAGACGATCCTGTTTATACCGCATAAGCTAACGTGGTGGGGATGTGAGATAAACTACCAAACCTCACCTTTAGATCCAGGACCAAAGGAGTCCAACAGTCCCTGGATGACAAAGCTTGGCTTGACGTCATCCGCCCATTCCACCACTGGTCTGTCAGGGTCAGACACTTTCGTCATCTTGCTGCAGAATGGACAGAGAAGAGACTTGGCACTGATGGCTTCTGGTTTGGTTTTTGTGTAGTTGACAACGCATTTCCGACAGAATGTGTGATAACACACAAGCGTGCATGGATTTTCAAACACCTCTGTGCATATGGTGCATGTGAGGAAATGTTCCTCCAGTTTCTGGGACGTTGCCATCTACAAACAGACTGATGGTCAATGATCTATTCAAAATTGCAAATAATATAAATTAAGAGAATACATGCTGCAAAATGGATAAAGTAGAATTAACATAAAAGAACACGTTTACAGTTTTGAGATCTATCGTATTTCATCACTAATTTGCATTTAGTGTATACTTATGAACACTAAGATCCAACAATACTAAATTAAATTAGCATTGTAAACCAAAACTCACTGTGTTCTTTACTTTGATTGGTTGATAAACATGATCAAATGGTATTCGATTCCTGGAAATTTGCTGCGTATTAATACATACAAACATCCTCACACCATTGTATTGTTACGTCGTTAGCTGAGATGACGTCATTCAAATCATATTGTGACGTAAAGGCCGAATGACGTCACAAATGAGCAGTTCCAGATGCTACCATGGGAGACAGCCGAAATGGCCGGCTGATGACATTTCACTGCTGTACCCGTACTCTATGTCAATGAGTGCAGACACAAAAACGTCCGTGGACCTTTTGGTTTACTTTTGTGTTTACAATGTCGATAAACATCATGTGTTGGCAAATTTCCGGGTGTTATTGAGTATTTGAAGCACGGGAATATTTCATTTGAAACCTCCGGCTGACGCCGTCGGTTCCAAATGAATTCCCGTGCTCAATAACACCCGGAAATTGGTCAACACATGATGTTTATCTCCTAAATAGCATACGATAGCAAAAGCCTTTATGTACTAAATTAGGATTTGATTGATGGATGAATCAATAAACAAGAAACCTGAAATAATATCATAGGGAATTGATGGTCAAAGTCTTCTTCATACTGTGACAGTCGTGTATCGCCGCGCTGATAGTGCGCTGACCTACATTTGGGTTCTCATTTGCATAACGAAAGTAGACTTTTATCAATAGCTTTGAGCGAAAACAAACCAGAAAATATTTCAATACATATGATTCATTTTCTCAAAAACGAGTTCTATATATACATGTAGGTATGATAGAGTTAAGGGTTATATCTCTGGAGTCAGTGTATCTATATAACAATAGTCGTACGTGAGGTTAGAGAAGTGCATCAAGTGTACATAACGATAGTGGACAGAACAAGACGGGCCGGGTGTACGACACGAATGTGACGCTGAACCAACACAAAGGCTTAATTTGTAGTTTAATTTGTCTTTATAGACTCTCTACATATCTCTCTGTAATAATGTGACTAAAGCATGTCATTATTAGCGTTATATTATATATAAAACCATGAAGATATCGACTGCATATCACCTCACCTTCACTTCCTCGATTCACTGGGCGGTGAAGAGGGAGATTGAACCCTGTGATATATGGTTGCAACCCGAGATAATGAATGGGGTTTCGCAGCGTGGAATTAGCATCATAAATACTAGTATATAACTTGCAGATTTATTTTTGTAATGTAAGAAGGAAACACTTGCAATGGAAGTGTCGTCGTCACTTGTACTTCAACAGTTTGAAACAAACTCATTCTGTTTAAAATGTGTTATAAATAGATGCAGTGTTGATAAACTTACATTTTCAATAATCATTTGACTTTAGTGAACATTTTTGTGGTTACTATCAATAAACTCCGTACATGTTGTGCCTGAGTTTGGGGTAATGGCTAACTTTAGTTTTTGTACACTAACTCATAACATCAATAAGTTTTGTTCTCTTAAAATGTGTACCACATTTCAACACTTTCAAAGTAAGATGTAAATTTACCACATTTAAATCGTAGTATTTTTGTTCTTTTAACTTCCGGCTAAATGTTCCTACAATCGCCAGCAGCTGAAGGGATGGTGTAAATCCAGCTAGGGTCCATGCAGGTAGCAAAGGTACTGTAAGTCCCCATGGTCTCTAGTATGGCGATCTACCTTCTGTTGTTGGCGATCTATAGCCTGTTTTTATATTGTATTGTCCCAATAGCGCTATTAGTTTTAAACTCTCTCCGCTAGTTTTAACTCTAATTGTGATATTCTAGTTGTTTTACTGTCCTTTGTCGACAGGTTTTTATAATATACACATATTCCACTTCAAAATCAAATATGTTCTCGTCACGATATGGCTGCAATATTGCCGATGTAACGTTAAATAATGACTCACTCACTATCGGCTATAGGGTAGATGAACTTTCCCCGTCTTACTAAGCAACTCAAGCTGATAGCTTTGACTACACTGCCTACTGGTGTCTACAACTGACCAAGATGTATGTAAATAGCTGCAATAACAATTTGCTAAGATTGTAACTGTAATTGCTTCTTATCTGAAGAGTTTGATCGTAGTCAGTGCTGAAACCTGATACCATCATTAATCTGAAATACGACGTTAAACCCAATTTCACCACACCTCACCTGCATCCCGGATGGAACTTAACCCCAAAAAGTAGTAGTGCCTGAGAAAGTCTAATCCTAAATATAGCATACGTTACATTTCTCTAAAATAGCAAATATTTAAACTGTATAGAATCCTGTTGTCAAAGAACACAAAATAACTGAATTATTAGTTCAAGGACTATTGACGAACAACACAAGCACAAAAGGGGCAAGAGATCACTAGCAGCCAAGGTTAGGTCACCATACTAGGACAATACTGACGTCAGCACTGTTCAGCCGTGAATGTTACACACCGAGGAATAGTTGGTTGCTTGGTTTGTTATTGTTTCGGTTAACGCCGTACTCAGCAATATACCAGCTATATGGCGTCAGTCTGTAAATAACTGAGTCTGGATTAGACAATCTAGTGATAGACAGCATGAGCGGAGCACCTTTAGAATACAGCACCACAACTTCTCGTGAGGACGATCCCTGCCGTAGGTCACGTGTCATTAAGACAAGCAACCAGTTTGAGAGAACCCGTCGGACGCGAACCCGCGACCTTCGGATTGTTAGCCCGACAGCTAACCGACTGAGCTACGTCCACACTGTTGCACACTGTGCAAATTTATCGAGTCATTCCTGTGACGTCACGGAAATGAACGGAAAGAGTCGAATAGGTCACGGACAATTACGAAGGTTACGGGTAGACTTGGTGTCTCGTGATTTTATTCTACGGACAATTGCCGAATGGATCCGATGCCATTTGGCACACTCGTCCCATTCCGTAATCTACAAATTAACGTGTGGCGTGGAATGAGCCGATATGCCTCAAACTGAAAAGGGTTGTTGACGTCAGGCGTCAGACGTAGATTTCACGGTGCATGCATGAATGACGCGCTTTTATATAAATCGGTGATTTTGTGACAGAAACGTGATGTAGGGAACACTGTAAGGATAATGTGGATCGCACTAAGGAACGAGGGACACATGAGCATGTGTAGTGACGGCACGAGGGTGAGTAAGCCTTCGACTCATTACTTTACAAAATTTATGTTGCGTGTGAAAGAAGCTTGAGTGCAAATTCCAGGCCAATTTTCATTAGCCCAAAATTTCTACATAAACCCATTTCATGATGTACTTTCGACGTTTTGGTTTCCCGTTTTTGTGTGAAAAAAAAGTGTTAAAATGCAAAAAGGAAAAACAACAAATGGTACTCACGTTTTACACCGGACATGTACCTGCTATATTGGATTAGGTCCCTAACCCTAACCCTAAACCCTAAACCCTCAGCCCTAACCCTAACCCTAACCCCTTGAAATAATCCTAATAAATAGAATGCATTGACCGAACCACCGGACATGTACCTACTATATTGCATTAGGTCCCCAACCCCAACCCTAAACCCTAAGCCCTAAGCCCTAAACCCTAACCCTAGTCCTAGCCCTAGCCCTAGCCCTAGCCCTAGCCCTAGCCCTAGCCCTAACCCTAACCCCAATCCCTTGAATTAATCCTAATAAATAGAATGCATTGACCGAACCGGCACAAACACGACTAACGTGTCTAGTGTAATGCATTATTACCGCTTCGAAAAATAAAATTCTAATAAAACACTTTTCTATGTAATGGTGCAAATTACTGAATGACAAAAATATATATGTAAATTAAAAAAAATACAAAATACACAAAACATAACACCTCAGCAGCCCGTAATACAAATAAATATGTGCGTATTAGTGAAAAAAGAAAAATATTTCAAACTGGTGCTTGCAAAATATTGCGCATCCGCCGGTATACAACTACTGGAAACTCTCAACATCGTTGGGCGTATGCAATGACATAGCTCGTAGAGATGAAACATCAGTGAGCGGAGCTTATACGCACTCGCTGAGCCAGACAACCGTGTTGCCATGCAGGCGTCATTGGGCATTGTTTCGAGAACGTGCTTTCGAACAAAATCACATTACATTACGTAAAAGGGTATTATGACGTATTTTTAAAGTTTGTGGTGCTGTATTCTAAAGGTAGGCCCCGTTTTATTATCATTCTTAGGTTATAATCCACGGTGGCGTTTGCTCGTCACCCCGGAGACCTGAGTTCGATTCCCTACATGGGTACAATGTGTGAAGCCCATTTCGGGTGTCCCCCGCCGTGATATTGCTGGAATATTGCTAAAACCGGCGTTAAACTAAACTCATTTATTATTTGTGGTCTATAACATTATAGCATTATGAAGGGATAGGATGTGTTTAATTTTTTATGACTATTTGGACGGTAGTTACAGAAGAATACGCTTCAAATCAATTAAATAAGGACGAAGTAAATTAGATCATTCCTTTCCAGTATTTCTCAGAGCCCAAAATGTCTGATGTCAACGGCTTGTCCAATTCCGCGGGCGCGGAGTTCGCTCCCGAGATGGCGGAATTCTCTCCTTCTATAGAATCATTATGTAGGTGTTCGATTAAACGTTAGTTTTAATACACATTAAGGTACAATTTATAACAATCAACACTGCTTCCGAAATCTGCTTTCGTCTTTTCGTGAAAGCAAATGGTTAAATGTCTGACACACTGCTCCAAACTCTCAAGACCCCGCGTCTGAAAACTGGTCACGGCATATAGAATAAAAACAAAATAACACGCACGCGATTTTGTAATAGAATGTCGGACATTTTTTAATCATTTCTAGACAACGTGTGCTCAAGAAATAAATGTTTCGTTTTATATACTACAACAGGAAACAGTGTATTTAGGATACCAATATATATACTGGAACTACATGTGTACTCAAATACAGACGTCAACACTATGTAGTATTCAGTGAGTGAGTTAGTTTAGTTTTACGCCGCACTCAACAGTATTACAGCTATATGGCGGCGGTCTGTAAATAATAGTATTTAGTGAATTGTAACGGTTCGTAACTTCAGCGGTTTCGGCATGGGCACGTTCACCGCGTTTATTTCGATAAGTTGCGTGGTGGAGCACATTAAAAACAACAAAACGTCTATTGGGAGGTTAAATTGCGTGGCAGTTTCTCTGTAACTAGTGTATAAAAAAGTACGCCGCTGACTCGTTCACTTTGTGAAAGCCGTGGTGGCTGAGCGGGTTGAGTGTCTGACTTTGTGTGCTGCGATTAGCTGCCTGACTATGAGGGTGTGGGTTCGAATCCCGGATGGGACTCAACCAAGCAAAAGTACTAAAATCTGTACTTGACTAAGAAAGTGTTATCCCAAATATGGAATAGAATAGAATATAGTATTTGTTTCATTCACTTTGCATTAATATCTATGTAATCACTGTATTAGTGAATTTAGATACGAATGGCAGATGGTTTGTACTTCGTTTCAGATATCCATGATTCGATACCACAGATTGTCACAGACAACAGAACACCGAACCCCTGAGGAATTATCTGAGCCGGACCATAACCCAGAAACCATACAAGCCTTTGAGCGTGACCTCCGCTTGCATCTGATGACTATCCTGGCAGAAATGGACAGTCTCCGCGCTGACCTCCGAAACCATGGACTCTGCTATCAGTCCCTGGAGCTGAAGAACCTGCATCTTCAGATACTATTCCGACACCTCTATGGCCAAACATTCTCGCTCAGGGTGCAGATAGAGCAGCTGCTGGAGAAGGTGGACATCTTGAAAGGAAAGAGAAAGAAAGAGATGTCCTCTACATCTCGGAAACGTGAAGGTGTTGACCTCGCCAAGCGATCGGGGATTACACAAGACACGTGCTCTGCAAAGCTGGACACATGCTCTGATAAGCTGGACCAATCACAGATGAGAGTGCCTCATGAGTGAGTGAGTATTGTTTAACGCCGCTTTAGCAATACTCCAGCAATATCACGGCGGGGGACATCAGAAATGGGCTTCCCACATTGTACCCATATGGGTGTAACAGCTTAGTTAAAGTCGCCTGCTTCACTCTCGCCCGCCAACGAAACCACAGACAGGTTACGTAACTCTGTCGCCAGAGCACTGCAGTGACGTCATATGAGGAAGGATTTTCAGTTAGTTGTATAGAAAGCAAACTCGTCATTTTGATGATTTCTCATCATCGAAGACATGCCGAATCGTTGCGTTTGTCGTCAATTGCTCCTAGAGGTCGTCATGCACAGATTTCCACAGGACCCCGCAGTTCGTGCAAAATGGGTTATGTTTGTGAGTGCGAAGCAGCGTTGTTGAAGCCTGAAACGATATCTTACTTGTGTTCAGATCGCTTCACGGAAGTTAAAGAATCAAAACTATTTACTAGTCGTAGTAAAATATGTATATGATTGATGACCATAAAGATTTTCCATGAAACAACTTGTAACATAACGATTTCTGCCTCAGATGTGAGGTTGTGGTCGAGGTAACAATAATACTGTAAGTAGTATTATATTGACACCCACCTCGCTTCCACGAGAGAAATTGTCTTCGGAGAGTGCCTCATGAAAAAAACGGGATGTCAACAACCAATTATCACTCGTCTCCATGTCATCTCTCCTCGAGAACAGACCTGCCGTCAAGCACACATGATAAAGCAGACAGTTGTAACTTGAAAAGAAATGTACAAAAATCAAATATATTCTTTGCTCATCGGAGCAAAGTGTTCAGAAGAAACACGCCCTAAACTCCTTTATGAATCAGATATATTTCAAGAATATATATTATACACTCACAGTTAAAATATATGGCTTTTGTTGTCTTTCAAACAGTGGTCAGTTTTGCTCTGTTTTGACTCATTATAGCATATGACTTCAACAGCATCTACGTATATTTTGCAATTGGTACAAACGTATTACCCTTGTATTACACAATGTATATGTCGGTTTTTATGTTGTTACCTTCATAAGTTCTGCAAAACACTTTGAAGTCAGTGCTAAAAAATACGTCAACAGTAACAACTCCACCCACAGCGTATTTCTTCTGTGAACAACAGTTCAATCAGAGAAATCTCGCAAAGGAACAATGCAGCATAGCTCAACCCATTCTATCATCAGCAAATCAGTTACCTATACTTCCTTAGTGGGCGTGACCTAGTCGCTTCCTGCTTGATGGGAAACTACACGCAAATATAAAGAGTTGCACCACGCCTGAGTGTCGGTTCCTTTGATCTTACCCCTGGTGTATGTGCTGGAAGACAACAGTTTTGTGTTGAAGGCAGATTTCGTCTGTCATTGGCTCCTAAAAGCCACGCCCCACGGCAAGGGGACTGAACTTAACATTGTTCAACATTGTACACAATTTATGTCAGTCAAGGTTTGCAACAAGGAAATGTAACTTCTACAGTTTTAATGGTTTCAAATGAATTTACTAGCTGAAATTGACCAACTATTTTATTTATGAGAACCAAATGCTGTAATAAAATGAAAAAGAATTAAACGTATACATGTACTTTATATGTACTTTGAAATTTACACAATTATGAAAGTTATAGTTCAAAAAATGTTTTCAGATTTAGATTAATTATTGTAGAAAACACAGTTATTATAAATAGCACTCATTTTGGCAACTAGACTGAGAATGAAACGGTCGTTAAAACTTTAAAATTTTTCCCGCTTCCCATACATAATAGCCGTGGTAGAAGTCAGTTAGCTCATCAATCCTCGATCTGTGCTCGTATACACCACAGTTTTGCCGGAGTTGATTGACAGGTGTTGAGGAAGCTCGAGCAAAGCTCGCGTCTCCCACCTGTCAATCAACTCCGGCAAAACTGTGGTGTATACGAGCACAGATCGAGGATTGGATGAGCTAACTAATAAAGAGATATATCCAAAATGTACTGTCACAGACGCAGTTAATGTTATAAGCTGTTACTGCCTTCAAGAGTGTAACTTACATTCTGAAGTGTTACTTGGGCGTCTAGTATCATACCAATAACAATGTTTCTATATGTTCTACACGAGTGCGTGCGCGCGCGCGCGCGTGCGGGTGGGCGGGGGGCGTTTGTGTTTTGTTTCACGCCGAACTCCAATTTTCCAGCTAATGCCTAGACAATACAGGTAGCATTGATTTACGCTACTGGAATACGGTGATCTGCAGGTTAGTTTGTTGTTTAACGCGGCACTCAGCAATATTCCAGCTGTATGGCGGCGGTCTGTAAATAATCGAGTCTGGGCTAGACAATCCAGTGATTAACATACCATGAGCATCAATCTACGCAATTGGGAAACGATGACATGTGTCTATCAAGTCTGACCACCCGATCCCGTTAGTCACCTCTTACGACAAGTATGGGTTGCTGAAGACCAAATCTAACCGGGACCTTGCATCAACACATGGACATGCATCAACCCCGAGAGCAAGCAAGGCCGCCTAATCCCTTCAGTCGCATTTAAGAACAAGCGCGGGTTCTTACTCGGATGTTTTAATTTCTTTTGAGGGCGCCACAACGTGAATACTTTTGCTTGTAGGTCCGTTTGACAATACTAGCCCACAAGTACACATTGGTTCAATTGTTTGTCACAGGTATTCTTGTGAACCACCTGTCTTACAGTAGAATTTGTCATTAACCCAAGTATTTATTTGGTTTCATCTAGTTAATATTACGTACCGTCTTTGAGTGTGACCCAGCCAGGGTCTCGAACCACGTCCTTCCATTTTCCATATATCCTAGGGCTGGGGCGGGTCCAAATTTTCTACCCGGGTACCCCAACCCCTATTACCCTACCCTCCCCGGAGGCTACAATTTCGAGGTTTTCAATATCTTAACCATGTATATTATTCAAAAGAGATGACTGCATAATTATATTTAAATCTTCAAAGACAATTCAACTTTTAGTCATGAACGAAGAACATATTACATTGTTTAATCTATTAGTCACATGATCATAACGGGTCCGGGTATTGGGACGGGTACCCGGGTCCAACTCATTACCCACCCGTCCCGGGTATCCGGGTTACCCGTCCCAGCTCTATTATATCCACTACACCACAGCTTTAAATTGTCTATGAGAGACTTGAGTCAATGAACGACATAATATCTCTTAAATATCTCATTTCTTAAGCTGTTCCTTGTTGAAAAGTATGTATGAAATGCATAATAATATGTAATATACAGTTTTGATGGTGTATCATATCTGGGTGGTGTTTTAAAAATAGCTTTGACCCATTAAAAAACGCATATTCATCCCAGAGTGTGACGTCACCATCTTTGTCTCTTCCATAAGTTACTTCACAATCGTAATATTCCTCGTTTCTTCTTCGTTCTCTGTTCCTTGGACTTGGAAAATAATAGGATGGTAGTAAAGCGCTCTGGTAAACTAGATTTGTATAAAAAAAAGTGTATTTCAAATATAAATGAGTATGTCAAGTAAACCGCAAGTATTAAAAATATTGAATTTGATATTTGAACCTAGAATATGTTTCATCCATTTAATCCAAAATGTATCATACTGACATACAGTAAAACAAGATGACAGAAATCAAACATACTAAATCAAACATACTAAGGAAACACAAAAGAGAGCTACCAAACAAGGGAAAATATACACACTTTAAATAGTGGTACAAACTACAAAGACACAATCCCCGTAAAGTAAGCGTCGTTATCATAAAGAAATGCACATTTTTAATAGGACCAATCTAGCTGTTTATCTATCATATGTGCTTGTTTTCTATGTTTTAGACATGCCGTACCAATAATAATTACACAAAAAACACAAAAAAAAACACCAAAAAAACAGATGCAAAAAAACCCAAACAGAATAAAAAAAAATAATTTTCTATTTTACATTTCCATGAGAAATAAGATTCAACATTGACGCATGGCTTTTGTAAACCCAGATAGGGCCTCCATTACTACAAGGGAGATAACTATCACATATGCTCGATGTAAATAAGGAAGTGCAACGAGAAGCCAGGAAACAGCTGTCTGGCAGTATGCACGAGGTGTGAGAATTCCATGGAAACGATAATCAGGTTTGTCACAGTGTTCTTCAGTAGTTTAATCGGAATATCTAAAGAGAAAAGAGGTCTGTGTTTCCTGCCAGTTGCACAGGTCCTTAAAACTAAGCAAGACTTTCTCTACCTCGGGATCAGCTCATGCTTTTTTTCTGTGACTACAACAAACGGAAATATATTGGTTTAGATTTAATATTGCAGACGTTCAATTTTACACACGTTTGTCCCCAGTCGGTTTCAAGTGTAATTTTCACGTAAGTAAAATTTAAACCATCGTTTCATTTAAATAATTTAAAGTGTCATTTGTTAAAATTCCTATTGACAACAGTTAAGGTCATACATGATACAAATTATTACAATGCTGCTGGGTGTGTGATAGATGTTAATCAGTGGAGGAATCCTGGGATGACTTTAATAAGCAAAGTCAATGATTGCAAGGGGCATTATCTTGCGGCATATATCTAGGTATCTAGGATTTATGCTTTTCAGTGTTTATTTTGCGATCAACTGGTCTAAGTGTACCCATGCCTTAAAATATTACGCAGCCCAAAGAGGTATAAACATATATGTCTTTGGACAGCCCAAAAACATGACAGATACAAGTCCAGTGTTTGCCCAAGGCATAACACTTTAGGAGTCATCATGACTCCCTGGTGTCATATGAGAGGGAGTCATGGACATGGTTTTGGGAGTCAACTTCAGTTTAGAACTTTAATCAAGCCATCAACTGTGATTGTTTAATAATGACAAAAGAAATGACATAATGCAGGTCAGGTATTAAGTCAGCAATGAGCAGTTTACTAGCAAACATTAAACTAAGTATTTTTAAACAACAGCACATTACAAATTCAGATTATCTGAACCAAGGGCCCAGTGGCATTGTGTCAACAATGACGCAAGCTTCTAAATTCACTGCATATTTGAGATAATTTGTGAGTCAAATACACCAGTTTTTTTGCGTCAGGGCCAACTCTGTCCTGGTGAGAATGAACACCCATTTCAGGCCTCAAATCAGAGACCATATAATAGATTATATTTATATGGTCTCTGCTCAAATGCTCATCAGATTTTCTCAAAATGTACACTTTTTGGGTTTAACCAATAATAATTTGAGTCTCATCACCAAATGTATTGTTTGAGCAATCATTGGTAACTGTCCAGTGAGGTTTAGTGCTTGACATGGTTCACAACCCAGCTAACAATTTCACGTTGTCACAACGTTGTAACAACAGATACTTTTGTTGTTACGTTATTCTGTGGACCCCTATTTACATTGTCGCAACATTGTGGCCTGACATTGTGATGCGCCATTTTTACATCACCGCAAGGTACATTTTGATGTTAACATATTTTATGTTGCCTTAACGTTCTAAGCATTAATAATTAGCATTAACATTAATGTTAAACATTAATAATTGAATAGTTTTCCCAGTAGTGAACAGTACATAAGAAACAAAGTAGAAATTCACTTCCATGTTTATTCGTCAAGTTGCATGATGATTTGGTCGTGTGTTTTCTGAAGCTGTAGCTGAATAGTGAAGAAAGAATCTCTCAAAGTGAAAAGTTTTACAGAAAACCTTATCATGACACCAAGTTCTAAAGTTGTGAGAAGCCCAAAGCATACCATTTCCTAAACGTAAAATTGAAACATTGGTATGACGTTGTGACATAACATTATAAAATGCTGTAATACTAATGTTGTGTCAAGGTTGTGCCATGACATTACCAATCTACAATCTTCCCACGTTTTCGCTTCCCACAATGTTGCAAAAACGTTGTGTGTTAGCTGGGAAGCTGTTAAACTCTTTTCAGAAATTTTGCAATTGTGCTCCTAATAATACCTGTCACTTCTGCAATTTTTATTCCATACTAACTCTCTTTTGACACTGATAATTGTTTTCTTTTGGTCTGGTTTAATTTCTCTGCTGTGGAGTGCCACAACCAAAAATGTAAACAAAGGGGGATAATCAGTAAGAATGGTTGAGAAACCAAAACACACACCACACATAAAATGGTCCCAGTGAGTTTGAGACATCAAGACCTCTCATGAACCACTAGAGTCAATAAGGCCAGACCAATTTTATTTCTTGTTTTATGGATCCACCGGTTGTTTTATATTTTCAAGAATAAGAAAGAAAAAAAGAAAAATCCCCTCCTCAAAAAATAAAATCCTAATGTTTTTATTGGCCTAAAATGTAAACTTACAAAAAATATTTTTTACATTGGTTTTGGCCTTATATACACTTCATAACTTGCCAAAAGTAAAATAATTTTAATATAATGAAAGGAATATTACTTTCACAGGTGATTGGGTTGTTTTTTTCCCCTCCTGCCTTTAGCTTTTCTGAAGACAAATCTCTGTAAAACAAGAAATAGAGTTGGTCTGGCCTTAATAGTATTTAAAGTGTGACTTGTGTTGGTAATGACAATGATTTGGGGAACTTGCTTATGTCCAAGAGTGTATCTAGACTGTACAATCCCATTGCAGAGCTCAGGTAGAGGTGGAGGTAGGTATAATTTAATCTACATGTCAGCTTATCTGAATTCCTCAATCATGTTTTTTCCACTTCACATGGAAAGCGTGAACTCTCATGGGGTCTAAATAACAAAAGAGTAACAGCAAAGTTTGTTTAAAACTCCTTTGATGGTCCTAATCCTAATCACATTGTAAACTGGCACTGTATTTGTTTGAAAAGAAATTACACCACAAATACGTTCCTCTTGATATTTGAGAGTTGATTTGCACTTGATTACCTGAAGACAGCCAGGTTACACCTTTAACCATATGTGGTCACTGTTTCATCTCCTCAAAGGACAACCCCACTCACTGCTATGGATGCTGAACATTTCTAAAACCATTTTTCCTTACTGGTATTCCAATGTTTTGATGTTTTCTAAAAATCAACACAAAATTATTTTGCAACTGTCTACACTAGAATTTCTTTCCACCCCTGCTGAAATTTTAAAACCATTTGTCCAAACTATTGATGTTCTACAGTTTTGCAAAACTTGCAAGAAGAATGACTTTTTCAAGAAACAATTTCAATTTCATGACCAACTCCTGCACACCTGGGCTAAATATTTTGTAAACCCAATTCCTAATGAAGTATTTTTTGCTGCATTTAGAAGAGATACACATAAAGTCAAGAATATATGGATGTCAACTTAATTTTTAGGAATACAATGTTTCACAGTATATTCTTACTGCTTCATCTGGTATATTATTTTATTCATCCTTTGATTTGAAATGTTACTTGGTTGGCTGCAGTCACCACGACAACTAGTTGCCCCGACAACACGGTAGCAGGACGGTGCTGATGGTAGGATGCGTGTGACATCGTTTGGGTTGAGATGCAGAAGGCCGAAGCGTGTTCTCATCATCTGTGTGCTGCTGCTGCTGCTCGTGGGATGTCTCTACTTGGTGCAGGTCGTCCAGGAGATCATACATGACATGAGCTGTTCGGAGCAGGAATCTCATGAGGTGCTGCAACAGTATGTGAGTACAATACAGGCGCCACAATGCACTGAACACATTCTACTAGGGCTGGCTAAAAAGATTGATAATCAGAATTATTGTCAATAGGAAAAATTATTAATGATTATTGATTTGAAAATTGTGTTATCAATAATAACGATATATATAAACTTTTGTGATAGAATAAAGGTTTAATTTACTCACACAATACACACACAGGGCTCCATATAATTTTTCAACATCAGGAGTACATACTCCTTATTGTTTCAATATAGAAGTACTGGAAAAACTTAAAAGTACATTAAGAGTTCTGAATGGAATTTAATGGAGTGTGACTACTTTACAAGAAGAAAGAGTGATACATAGTAGTTGTTTGTTCATTATTCGTGACAGCAATTTGATTACCTGACTGTTTACAAGTCGTCAAGGCACAATCTTGTTTCTGAAAGAAACTTGTAATTTGTTTCTGTGCCGCCATGTTTACATACACGTGCGCAATTTTGACCAATCAAATTTCACCGAGATGATTCGCTGCGGTTTCCTTAGCAACTGAGATTCCGAAAACATGACAAGGGAAACCCCAATGTGTCACGGTCATCATGGTCATATGTTTTAGATGTTGTGAATGATTCTTTAAGACTGTACACCATTGATGTGTTGCTTATCTGACACGTTTTCTAAATTATTTGCTACCGTATCGTGTATATTTTATCCATACATATCGCCCTTATCTGGAGCCCTGCACAGAGTTAGGAATTTGTTCATGGGCTGCTTCTAAATTATGTTCTGCTGTTATGTTAATAATCCAGGCATAAACATGTCACTGCTCACCAGTGATGTGAAATATATTTGGTTCAGATTTTTTGGTATTTTTGCTCAAAGTTACTTCTCTCCGATATTCATTGATAATCAATCAATATTTGGTTAACAATTATCAACCTCTATGATCTGTATCGATAGTCAACTCAACATTCTACAATAGGCAAAGTTAAGTGCTGCTGGAAATGGTCACCAGTGGATGGGTTGGAATATTCCCAAGGGATGAAACAATGCAATGCAGACTGATCTGTTCACTGGGTGCTTTGAGCATTGATACTCTAAAGTCTTTTGCTATACGAGTAATCTGTGATGATAATGTGATGAAGGTGGTTACAATGAGGATGATGATCATCAGTAGTAGCATCAACATCATCATCATCATCATCATGGGCGAATGGGGGTAGCCTGAGCCGCACTAGTGAAGCTGTTTAAAGCGCTTATAGCCCATCACGCCAAAGACCCGGGTTCGATTCCCCACATGGGTACAATGTGTGAAGCCCATTTCTGGTGTCCCCCTGCCGCGGATATTGCTGGAATATTGCTAAAAATAGCCTTACACTCGACTCACTCATTCTCAACTATAACAGACCAGTCCCTAATATGACATCTAATCACCATCTTTCATCTCATCTTCTACAGTGTCAGATGTACCGAGACAAACGTATAGTTGGCGATCTGTGTCCTCATCTGTGTGGCAATGACCCCAAAGTACAATATAAGAAATGTACAAACTATCGCCAAGGAAAGCGGGTGTTCATCGTCCAGTGTCTGGACTTCTGTCAAGAAGGTGCTACAGTGAAAGCAGTCCTGAAAACAAACCACAAAAACTTCTCCGACTTCCTGAACGAGGAGTTCTCCTTCGAAAGAGAAGATCAAGAGAATAACGGTCCATCCATTGACTTCCTGCAGACAATGATTAAAGACACATTGCAAATGGACTTACACATGACCCTACCAAAAGAAACAGACCCAATTGCATTCATGTGGAAAGACAATTACTTCGACTATTATAAGAAAAATAATAAAAACAGCCAGTTTGCTCTAGCCAGATCAGTATGGTCGCTGGTTCGTCAGTCTGAGTATTTAATGATGAAGGCCAATCAAGAACACCAGTTTATGCCACAGCTCTATGGGACTTGTGGACCGCTCTACTTGATGGAGTACGCACCCCCGGGGGACATGTTGGAGCATGAAGTTCAGTTTACCAACTTCCCCTGGGTTGTTAGAGCAAGGGTGGCCAAGGGCATTCTGGGTATTTTATGGTCGGTCCAAGAAGATATGCATGAGCCAATGCACTTGTGTGATGTGAAGGGAGAGAACTTTGGAGTTTCGGAGGATGGGCAAGTGAAACTTATTGACACAGATACTGTGTTTTATGATAGTAAGATGCTGGATGAGCTAGCCTTGGGGAACTGTTCACGGAACAATGAATGTAACTTCTTTGACTGCCGTGGATGGTGTGATGCCAAGACAGGTAGTTGTGCTAAGTTTCGCATCAACAACAACCTACAGGTGAGTCATGCTGATGGAGTGAGTTGTTAAGTTAAATCTATATATTGCTGTTGGTTAATGTAATTAACTAGGTTTATAACAACGGAAGACCAACAAATATCCAACTTCTATTATTGCATACTGTTTTCCTTGATATGCTTTGTTACCATTCACATGGTTTATAAATGTGTGTTGTTTGTACATACAGCCCATCACGTGTACATCTAGTATAGAATATTAATTATTTGTATTACGCGCCATTCATGGTTAGTTATCTTGTTTATCCCTGAAGGGGAGACTAGACACGCTTTAATGTACACCATATACTGGGGTGAACAAATATTGACATACCACTATTATTTTATCACCATTGTCGCTACGCCAAATATTCCTTGTTTACATAGCAGGCGGGTCAGTCCCACTTCATCTCCTTTTAAGGAGCCAGTCTATTTTTATTTAATGCACAGGTTATTTCCGCTCATGCGCAGTTGTCTGAAATTCTACTTCCAGTCATGCGCAGTTACTAGCGATAGTTCGCCATGCTGGTATTGTTTATGCTGTGAGTGGAAAGTTGAAAAGTTTTGTGAGCGAAAAGTTTTTATTATCGAGGTGATTAGACTTTTAAGCGTGATCGATTGATCCGTCATGCCTCCAGCAAGACGCAGAAGGAAATACGAGGGCGCTTGCCACGATCACCGTCCTGTTCCAACAGCAAACAACCGTGACACGAATCAAGGCGTTGGAGAGCAAGACAACCATGGAACCGGAAGCGAAGAGCCAGAGGCGTAGTAGTTCCAGACGCCAAGCATACCGATATCACCGTGAGACAATCGACCGTACTCAACTCTCCCAAGGAATTGGTCCATTGAGAGGATTACGAACTATATCGAAAGCAGATGTTGGGAATAATGACCGCCGCAAAGGTCTTTCTCGAAGCAGTATCAAAGAGCTGTACTCTATTAACGTGGCCAATCACAGTATGCGAGGTCAAAACAGGTCAGCGAAGTCAAGGCATTATGGAACCAGAACCACGCTGAAACGCGACAATATGGCGACATTACTGACCACTGTTCAGCAATTGCAACAACAGGTAGCCCGCCTAACTGACAAAGTGGATAATAGGAATTCCAACCAGTCGCAAGCCATACAACAACCACAGCAAGAAAGTGACCACAGGTTATATCAAGACCATGTTACGGGAATACCCCGGGCCCAGTCAGGAACCACTTTATTCTCTGCAAGATTTGCTCCTGATGACCCCATGTCTACAAGAGGAAGCTTGCCAACACAAGTGAACAACCACAACCTGCTTGGCATACCGGAGGTCGAGATAGTGTCGCCAGCTGAGGAAACAGATCTGGGAGGGTAAGGATGTAAATCTAGCTCTCCTTATGATCCCAGATGAGATGTCCACTACAGCCCGCTCATTTGCCTTTAATGACACACCAATGCTACTTAAACCCCAGGTTGATGCCAGGATGACTATGCCTCTTACCATCAGCATGTTCGTCACTGCATTTGGCAGATATAAAACATCATGTGTATCAGGTGGCCACAGAGGGACAAGGAGCTGGACAGGTATGAACGTAATATCCTGGAGATGCATGCCCAGTACGAAAATCAACTTTTTACCAATATCACCGCAAGTTCTCCGCAAAGCTGCTGCCCTGCTCGAACAACAAAACTGGAAAGTGGACTGGAGTAAGATAGATGATGACCTGTACAGAGTGATTTTCACAGGTCAGCGAAGTCAAGGCATGTCAGCTCTGTCAAGATATTGGCCACATGACAGAATTCTGTTATATGGTGATCACCAATCCTCCCAACCAAGCGAACAGATGGGCCACCAGCACAGGCCAACAGAAATACCCCTGATCTACAAGAGAAGACATCTGCAATGGAGCGGCGTTCTGCAGACCGATATGGACGACCCATCGCCATATATATCAAGGAGTACCAATATGCAATAACTACAACACAGATCGATGTGTACATGTCAGTTGCAAATTTAGACACATCTGCCTCACGTGTCATAAATCACATGCCCAGTTCAAGTGTTACCAGAACAGAGAGTCGGACAAGAAGGCAAGCTCCCCAGAACATAGACAAAGAGACAGGAGAGGAAACCGCGACAAGTGACTACAGTGCACCCCATCCCCCATCAATGTCCAAGTGTTAGCGGATAAACTTATTGACTGTGGTCGAAGTTCAGTTCGTCAATAATCTTGTTCATGGCTTGACTTATGGCTTTATGGACTGGAATTGTGGCCCCACCTATTCACACCAAGATTTGTCGGAAACCTATTATCGGCTAGTTGTAATCCTGAAGATACCTCTACTCTCCTGCAGAAAGAACTAGGAAAAGGTTTTTGATTGGACCATTTCTACAGCCACCATTTCTCTCCCATAGGATCAATCAATCGGCATTGTGGAAGGCAAATATTCTGGCAAGAAAAAGACTGATTGTCGACCTTTCATCACCCCACAATGATGGGTTGCATCCCAGCCTTAACTCATTAATCAGCAAGGAAGAGCATTCCCTTACGTATGTGAAAGTGGATGATGCCATCAACATCATCAAGGAGATTGGGCCAACAGCCTACATGTGCAAATTTGACATTGCTGACGCCTTCAAATTAATTCCTATTCATCCATCAATGTGGCACCTTCATGGAATTCAGTGGAAAGGACATTATTATTATTATACAAGACTAGTCTTTGGTTCCAGATCCAGCCCCAAAATATTTGACCAATTGTCGGAGGCAATATGCTGGATCGCGGAACATGTGTGTGATGTAACTCATATTCTGCATCTGTTAGATGACTTCTTAACTATGGACAATTCAATTAGTAATGGTAAATCCACAATGCAAAAAATGATTGGCCTATTTTCAGAATTAAATATTCCTCTGTCCATGCACAAGACAGCGGGACCAACACAATGCCTAGAATACCTAGGCATTACTCTGGACTCTAAGAATATGGAAGCCCGTCTCCCACAAGTCAAAGTGAAGAGAATAATAGAGATGATGGACTCTGTCGTCAGTAAGAAGAAGGTCACCAAAAGGAAGCTACTTAGCGTGCTCGGCCACTTGAACTTCGCCATGCAAATTATACGCCCAGGGCGTTCCTTTATCAGCTATCTGCTGAAGTTAGCTCATTCAGTGCCAGAGCTGTATCACCATGTGGGTCTGAACAGAGAATGTCAGATCGACTTAAACATGTGGAGAACTTTTTCTCAGCCAGTGGAGCGGAAAATCGTTCTTCCTTAATGAAAGAATAGCTGCTCCTGATTTTGAACTGTTTACCCGATGCCGCCGCTTCGGGTTGGTTCGCCTACTTCCAAGGACAGTGGTGTGCTAACAAGTGGCCAACTCAATTGTTTGACATTGCAGGAGATGACATGTCTATAGCATTATTAGAACTGTACCCCATCATAATGGCATCATCTTTGTGGGGTCACCTGTGGACTTCAAGGAGCATTTGTTTTGTGTGTGACAATTTGGCCACTGTTACAATTTTGAACAAGGGCAGATCAAAGTCCCAGTGATTATGCTGTTTGTAAGGAAGTTAGTGTTGAATGCAGCTACTTATAACTTTGTCTTCAATGCAGTACACCTACCAGGTCGTGACAATCTTATAGCTGATGCACTATCTCGATTACAGATAGAGAAGTTCCAGCAGCTAGCCCCCGAAGCGCAACCATGCCCGACACCTTGCCTGCCTATGGACAAATTGACTATGCGCGCCGACCCAGGGCTAGATCACCTCTGGGAGCAAGCCCTCTCTCCGCTACACAAGAACCGTTTATAACTCAGGCCTGAGGCGTTTCTGATGTTTATGAGTATGTCAGGTGTTACGTGGTATCCTCAAGCATTACCCTGTATCAATGAACAAGTGTTGCTAAACTTTGTGTCACATTGCCATTACAAGCTGAAAGTGACTCACTCTACGACAAGAGAGTACCTAAGTGGCGTCAGATTTGCATATCTTCGTCATGGAGTTAACAATCCATGGTGCAACAACACCTTGTTGGCGTTTACAGACAATAATGAGATCATTGAAGAAACTGGCAGGTGTCAGAGCAGCACCCGATCTCCCAGTGACAATCGTGGTTCTGAAACACATAGTGAGGACGTTGAATGGCGGTCTGTTCTCAGCATATTTAGACATCATGCTGGCAGCTGCTTTCTGTACAGCCTTTTCGGTTTTCTACGATGTGGAGAGTTGACCTACCACCTTTTCAACCCAAGCCAAAACCTGTCGATGGAAGATGTTGTGTTTGCCAGTGAGAATTCTAAATTCCACCTAAAACTAAAGGCTTCAAAAACTGACATATTCGGAGGGTGTGACCCTTACAGTCCATGCAGTTCCACACGTGTGTTGCCCAGTCGCGTGCCATGAGTCGGCATGTTAAACAAAGGGAGGAAGCGGGTGCCACAGCAAAGATCCGCTCTTCGTCATGAGCGATGGTACTGCTTTTACCAGAACAGTATTTGTTAGCAGCCTTAAATCAGTACTTACCGCAGCAGGCTGGAATGACCGACAGTTCAATGGTCATTCCTTCCGCGTGGGGCTGACCACCTCCGCATAGCAGCAGCAAATGTCCCAGATCACCTCATCAAAGCGTTGGGGCGGTGGTCCTCAGACTCTTACCTAAGATACATCCGTACTTCCGACAGTGCCATTGGGAAAGCGCATTATGCTATGTGTGGTTTTACCTAGTGTCTAGTCAGTGGTTGGTCTTCCCATTTTTATGCATCTTGTACTTTGCCATCGGGAGGCACAGGTGGTTCCTTTCTGTTTATAGTGTACATCATGTTGGGGTATTCTCAGTTATAACAAAGGTTATTCCCGATCATTGTGGCAGTCAAATATCATAAAGATCAAGGGGATATTTTTCACCCCCATCATTCAGGGTGTCGACCAGCTAAATGGCAGCTATAATGAACTGACAGCACCCCATGCTGGGGTTAGTAAGACTGATGCTCAGTCAAAGTATGTTTCAAACTCAGGTATGGATAGTAGTATGTGCAATATAACATCAGGCTGGAATTATCGAGGACTGATGCTCAGTCTAAGCTTCGGATCTAGGTTGATGCTCAACCATGCTAAAAATTAGGAGTTCGCACCCAATGCTTGGGTAAAGGTGTTCCAGCACCCCATGCTGGGGTTAGTATCAAGCTCGCACCCAATGCTGGGGTAGCGTGTACCAATTATAGGTTGATGCTCAACCACAGCAGTTCAGGTTTATACCAACAAGTATTAGCAGGTATTCAGATTATAAGCATGAGAATCCCCTAACGTACAAGTACCATTATTTAATGCTGCCCTGGACCTGTGAAACTCTGGGTGAGAATTGGTCTTCAGTAATCCATGCTTGTCGTAAGAGGCGACTAACGGGATTGGGTGGTCAGGTCAATTGACTTGATTGACACATGTCATCATATCCCAATTGCGTAGATCGTGCTCATGCTGTTGATCGCTGGATTGTCTGGTCCAGACTCGATTATTTACAGACTGTCACCATATAGCTAGAATATTGCCTAGTGTGGTGTAAAACTAAACTCACTCACTCCCTAATGCTGCTCTGAACAGTACTTTATTTGAATCAAGGCATAAGAATTTATTTGAGAACAGAGTTCAATGTTTTTTTGTGTTTATGAAGACAAAATGGTAAAAGACAGCCTGCACTTTAATCTCTGGGGGCATGTGTTCATTTCAAAGTTACCCAACAATGATAATGATGTTGAATAATATTTGTAACGTTATTGGTGTGAATAAGATGTATGTATCCTAAGCGCTTCATGATGGTCTGTTAGATGTGTGGTTACTGCATTGATACGTGATACATATTTGAATGTTTCTACTTTTAACACAAGTTTCTCGCCATAAGATTTTATCATTTTTTAAAGAAATTAGCCTAATGAAAAGATATTTGAAAAATTGTCAGTTTTTGCCTTATCTGTGATATTTGACTGATATTTTAAATTGTCTATGACATCATCCATTTTAGAACTGTTCTCTTTATGTACACATGTAGAAATTCATAGTTACTAGTTCTCATTGCGAATAGCTGGAAAATGGCTGATGCGACGTAAAGCAACATTCATTCATTCATTCATCCATTCATTCATTCAATCGGGTGGTCAGGCTGACTGGCTTGGTTGACACAAGTCATTGGTTCCCAATTGCGCAGATCAATGCTCATGCTGTTGATCACTGGATTGTCTGGTCAGACTTCGATTATTTACCTACCGCCATATAGCTGGAATATTGCTGAGTGCGGTGTAAAACTAAACTCACTCACTCATTCATTAAATGATGAATGTTTTGTTGGTGGCAATAAATAAGGTCCTAAATATTGTTTTTCATATTTCCAGAGTGTGTGCCAAGATGTGTTCCTTGGTAAGCTCATGGACTCTGTCGGAGGTCTGCTGAGAAATCCCCTCGTGCCATCAAGGCTCAACTCAAATCCATCCTGGACAAATGTGCTTCAGTCAGACCTCGAAGATGGTATCCCGTCCAAAACCGTCAGAGGAATTATACTGGCGCCTATATAACCTTCTACAGAACAGCATTGACAGCCAGGGTTAGCCAGTTACCATGGTAATACATACATATACCTCTCAGTCCCATTTTGTGTTGTCAAGGATCAGGTTAACTTACTTACACATAGTCAGTACTTCATAGCTGGGGTATGTTCATCCATCACCATGATCTCTCAGTTTACATGCAGCAGAACACGAGCATGAACACAGCAGTTATATGGGAGTGAAATGAGTGCGCTGTTACTCACGGTATGTGTTGCGGTACAAGGTCTTCGATCGGTCTGTTTTGGTTGGTATATGAGAACTTACTTCACGGAATATATCGGCTGTCAAGCAAAGAAATGCATAGATTTGACAAAATAATTCAATTTCTAAACATTTTAGAAAAGGTTTAAAATGGTTAATAAAATGATGGCACAAAAACGAAAATACTGAATTTTTGGTTTGCATTATGGTATGCCGAACTGAAGGCAAAATACTACAGTTCTACTATATACTGCGGTATGCCGTTTCACCCCTACAGCAATAGAGTGCATCAATACAGCTACTATGCAGTGAGTTTGTACAAACAGCTTGAATGAATTAAGACATACAGGGCCTGAATGCATACATTGGCTATGGAGTGCATGAATGCATATAGTTTCTTTGGAGTGCATGAGTGCATGAATGCATATAGTTTCTTTGGAGTGCATGAATGCATGCTATGCAGTGGATGAAGTGCTAATGATCAAATAATCAATCAATTGATCTCACTGGTGTTAGCGATTATCGATGAGCTGAGGAAACTAAGCGATATTCATCAAATATGAAACATCAAATCAAACTTAAGAAGTATGTTTCTTATTGTTATGTTTGTTAAATCAAAACATAAACAACTGATGCAGTTTCTGACTAGTAAAACTGCAATGTAAACAACTTACTCTCATGCATGTTTCATCCATAAGGGTCCTCATTCATCAACTGGTGCCTGTTTCTTGCCTGTCCTGTTATTGCCCACAGATGTTTAGTGGTGGTGTTTCACGATTACAATCGAAGATTGATCCATTACTCATCTCTGATTATCGATCTGCATATTGTGAGCGATAACCAGCACTTATGAATACATACACTTACCATGCTGTGCATGAACATGGACAAACAGTACAAAGTGCAGTACTGATGTGTTTATGATATTCCGTAAGCTGACAAAATGACACCATTTAGGACTTTAGGACTGTTTGTAATTTGATTGGTAATTTCAATAAATTTTAAGTGGATACTGAGAATAACCACTTCCAAGATCATCACTGCAATGAAAAGAAAAAAGAGTTAGTTCAAAATGCATTTAGTTGTAGTAGAATAAACCATTCTATACTTTTGTTGAATTTTAAGTCGTTCATTGACTTTAATCAACAAAAAACACCTCAAAATTTAAAACAGAATTCTCTTATAAATTAACCAATATTAGGGTCATATAAAGTAATGAAATGGTATAGTGTACCATAGTCAGTGATAATTATGTTAATTATTGGGATTTGATATTTCAATTTTGTTTCAATATTGTTGGTTCACTTTCTCAGGTAATCTTTCTCCATACAATTCTGTGTCATGTAAACCCTGTGTATATATGTATCCATGGTTGAAAGGGGAACATAGAGTGAACAGGCATTCATTATGGCTTAAACATTATTAATGATCAATGCTTTTGCCATTTGTTTTTATTATGTAATTTTAATTGGACTCAGATGAAGCTTTGGTGTGGAACTGGTCCAGGGTTTTATTATGGAGACATCGTACCCTAGCGTACAGGGGATGGGTCAAGTGTCACAATACGTACCCTAAGCGTACAGGGGATGGAGTCAAGTGTCTGTCACGATACGTGCCTAAGCTAGCAGTTACAGGGGATGGGTCAAGTGTCACAATCACGTGCCCTAGCATACAGAGGATGGGTCAAGTGTCACGATCGTGCACCCTAGCGTGCATAGGGATGGGTCAGAGAGTCCGCGATCGTACCCTAAGCGTACAGAGGATGGGTCAAGTGTCACGATACGTGCCCTAATAAGCATTACTAGTACAGAGGATGGGTCAAGTGTCACGATACGTACCCTAGCGTACAGGGGATGGGTCAAGTGTCACGATACGTGCCCTAGCGTACAGGGGATGGGTCAAGTGTCACGATACGTACCCTAGCATACAGAGGATGGGTCAAGTGTCACGATACGTGCCCTAGCATACAGGGGATGGGTCAAGTGTCACGATACGTACCCTAGCGTACAGGGGATGGGTCAAGTGTCACGATACGTACCCTAGCATACAGAGGATGGGTCAAGTGTCACGATAGCATACGTGCCCTAGTGCGATCGTGCCCTAGTACAGAGGGATGGGTCAAATGTCAGATATACATTGTATGAACTGCAGGTCTCATCATGTTGGATCTTCAAGGTGTACTGGGTTTTACATTCTTTTTAAATTTATTACATTATGCTAAAATATTCTTGCCCTTGTTTGTTTTAATCATTTTTTCATCTTGTCCCTGTCAAAGGAAATCCAGAACTGTAACATGAAGCATGTAGTTCGATATTTTCAACTATTAACTGTTTTAGGTAGTGTTATGTTTTGTATGACTAATGAAAAGATGACATATCTAATCAAAAGAATAATCAAAACATGTAAATGTGGATAACAGCATTGTTCAATTATGTTTGATTAAAGAGATGACATCCAATGCATTAGCAGAATGTGGACAAAATTATCTGCAGGTTATTCTTATAAATATTCATCACACTTATATTATTTATGACTGTAATGATGCTTGGCATTCAGAAAATCAAAACACCCTAGAAAGTATTTGTATGAGTAACGAGCATGGTATTCTATAATTTCCATATAACTGACTGACTGAGTTTGGTTTTACGCCGCTTTTAGCATTATTCCAGCAATATCATAAGCGGGGACACGGAAATGGGTTTCACACATTGTACCCATGTGGGGATTGAACCTGGGTCTTCGGTGATGAGCCAAGCGCTTTAACCACTAGGCTACCTCACGCCCTAATTTCCATTAAAAAATAAAAAAATTTAAATATATTTTTTTGTTCACAAGTCTCTCAAATAGTATCATCCAATTTAAGACATCATCAAACTGAAAATGTATGTTTTAATGTACATAAAAAAACATTATGATGGGACAATGTTTTGTCATGAAGTAAACGACTCATTCTTCATTGTTATTGATTATCACATAGTTATGTTGTATATGAAAGTAAAGATGAGTTGATGCTTAATTTTTTTTCCAAGTTTATATGTTGTTATGTGTGGTACGGAGGCTGAAGTTTAACCCAGAATACAAGATACAACTATCCCAGGTGACTGTCTGCAGAAGTGTACCTGTCCATAACTGTTTCAAAACAATGACTGAACATTTTCATTTAATAATTATTATATTAATATTTTTAAAAACTATAAGTGTTTAACAGTTTAATTTGCAATTTGTATATGTAAAGCATTACAGTATCTTTTATTATTATTATTTTAATATTTTAAATAACTGTTTTATACCAGGGGTTCCAGTTTTGGTTTTGTATTTGTATGGTATGTTTACATGTATAAAAATGAGTTCACTGTGACATTATTATGTCGAACTTGCTGACCTTCAGTTATTAGCTCCTTGTTTGTTTTTTATTGCAGTATCTCTGTTTTGCTTCTTTCAAATCAAAATGGCATGATGTGAATCTAATATTATTTTTATCCATTTTATCCATCTCAAAAAGTGACTTAAGTACATTTAACATATTGGTTGGAAGAGGCATCTGCTTTATCTACAGCTTGCATAGTGGTAGGGCTGGGACGGATCCAATTTTTCTACCCGGGTACCCCACCCCCTGTTACCCAACCCTACCCTACCCGGATTCCCATTATGTGAATTCCTGACATCAAATTTGCAAGAAATAGTAATACATTCTTCAGCTTGAAGGCTAAATTTCGTGTTTTTCAATATCTTAACTGCGTATTATATTCAAGAGAAGTGACTGTATAGTCCGTTTGGCTCAAAATCGGACCGATGAATTGCAATCTAACTTGAAAACTAATAAACATAAAATACTCAATGAACGCTGATCATAATCAAAACATCATACCAACTCTGTGAGGTTTTTGCAGAATTTTTGTCCTAAAAATAAAAAAGTTGTTTAACAATCTATCATTAAAATATTGACACAGTTCACTATTTGTTACGAGGGAGGAGTGCAGAGAAAGGGACAGCCAGGTGTTTGAGAATGGATGGAGACGGCACAGCACAGGTTAATGAATAAATAACTTTGTCTGTGAACGTGCTTCTCGAACACCTGGCTGTCCCTTTCTCTGCACTCCTCCCTTGTAACAAACAGTGAACTGTGTCAATACTTTAATGATAGTTTGTTAAACAACTTTTTTATTTTTGGGACAAAAATTCTGTAAATAAATCACAGAGTTGGTATGATGCTTCGATCAGCGTTTCATTGAGTATTTTATGTTTATTAGTTTTCGAGTTAGATTGCAATTCATCGGTCCGCTTTTGAGTCAAACGGACTATAAGTTATGTCTAAATCTTGAAAGACAATACAACCATTTGATCATGAAAGAATAACATATAGCATTGTTTAACATATTAGTCACGTGATCATAACTGGTCCGGGTATTGAGACGGGTACCCGGGTCCAAATCATGACCCAGCCATTCCCGGGTATCCGGGTTACCCGTCCCAGCCCTACATAGTGGTATACTTTATTAAAGGTTGGAGACTAATTGCTTGAGTGAATCAGTGCATGAGTACCCAAACTTGGTGAATATGTGTTTCATATACAGATATGAATACATGACATGTTTTATGGATAAGAACTTCATTTTTATTTTTCATCGCAACATTTTCGTAAAACGTGTCATGTATTCATGTTCATCCAACTTCTAAATACCTTTCAAGAACTATATATACATGTGTATGTATACAGATAGTCCCTCGTAGACCAGGATCAGACATACGTACCACTGGGAGACTTATGGATTACAAAATGTCATTTATGATGTTTATAGTTCATGGACTCTCTAATTCAGAAAGTATTAGATACAGATGGTTTGGTATGACACCACTGTTTGACTTACTTGCTCTATTTTTTTCGGATTGTTCTGTTTTTTTCGGATTGTTCTATTTTGTTTGTATTGTTGCCATGGTTACCAGACATATTGATATTGCATCCAGTATGCACAATATATGAATAGATGCAAATAATGTGGACTGGGCCACTCATGAAACAGGGTATGAAACTACCAAAAAAATCAGCCAGACCACAGGGCTGGATAGATGTAAAACTTGCCAGCCCTGACCAAAGCTTACCTGCCTGCAAATAATTTAGGTTTGACAAGCGACGTAGTTTATCATCCAATTGTAATTCATCATTTATTTTTACAATTGAATTAATAATGATTTATTATCCTGAAATATGATGAATATCTTCATATACATGTCTACATTTTAACCCAACTGTCAGGCAGGTGAATTTGAGAATCTGGCAGTTAGTGTTGAAAATAACCCATCTCGGGTCGTCGGGCAGGCAGGTATTTCGAACGCTGCATGAAATTAAAAAAAGAGTCTGCATGGATCAAATTAATCTAATCATAGTATGTACAATAAGTGTATAACCATATTGAGACTCATCGTCATGGCTACCACTCTCAGAACGCCTGGGACTCACATACGGACAAAGGTAAATCCAGGAGATTGTTGCTGCTTTCAGTATTTTGCTTTGTGGGTGTATTGACCACTGCTGGTGGAACTGCAGGCTACGGACTGCAGGCTGTGGATTGCTGGCATTATCATGTACATCTGTATGAGCCTCATTAGAATCAGATCATTTACTCAGATTTAATACCTGTTTGTGTTAAGATATGAAACCCTTCCATATGAGATTACATTAGGTGAAATCACCGCCAGTCAGTATAGCAGCTTCTTATTTCTTGTGAGGCAGTGGGGTAGCCTAGTGGTTAAAGCTTTCGCCCGTCACGACAAAAACATGGCTTCGATTCACCACACGTGTACAATGTGTGAAGCAAATTTCTAGTATCCCCCGTCGTGATATTGCTGGAATATTGCTAAAAGCGGCGTAAAACTAAACTCACTCATTCACATACTCTAAATTATTGGTACAACTGCCAGGCATTGATATCAATATATCTGATTTCTTTATGTCAAAAATGAACTCAGCCAGTTCCAAATGTCAATAATCATTTTGGATATTTTATGCATCCTTTCATTTCTGAGAATATGGCATGTACTCCCAGGAGTGAGT